CTCTTCTCGTCTTTGTTTGACGACTGCTTCTGTCGTCCTTCTCTTTTGTCGGACCTTTTCCCGTCTGACTGTTTTACCGGACTACAAAAATCAGTCGCCTGTATATAGGCTTCCGCTTCAATCAAGGCCACTTGAAGATTCGCCACCCTCTTTCGGACCAAATCAAATTTGAAGGCCGACCCGTCTTTGAGACCTCTGAAAAAGTCAGTATAGGCTACTTCATCCGGTAACCCTTGAATCTATATTCTCATCAGGTTAAACCGCCTGATGTAAGAACGAAGCCCCTCCTTCTCGCCCTGCTGAATTGTTCCTAAATCAAGGGTCGTCTTCTTCGTAGGGATGTTCATGGCGAAGTTGGAGGTGAATAAGTAAGCAAGCGTCTTGAAGTTATTTACACAACCAGTCGGCAGGTTGCCGAACCATTGTTGTGCGATTCCTTTGAGAGTCGCTGGGAAACACTTGCACTAAGTGGGATCATCCAACCCTTGAAGGTACATCAGGTTGGTGAATGCCATCAGATGGTCTTCAGGGTTAGTAGTGTCGTCATAGGCGCCTACTAATACATTTTTCACTTTGGCCAACTGAGCGGCTTCAGTAATTTCCTTGGAGAAGGCCGACGGCTGTTCACCAAGTCTAAGCAACCGTAGTTGCCAGTCCATAGGTTGGACATTTTTTGCTGCATGTCCAGCAAACGGAGGTGGCTGTAAAAAATATTGTTGTTGCGGTACAAACGGTAAGTTTGGTACCGCCTGGTCGCTATGAAAGCCGGACTGACGGGAGGTGCCGCCTGACTGACTCTCATGATACGACTGAGTATGCCTCATCGAGGTATTTCGCAGACTGTCTTGGAAGTTTGAAGTAGAGGCCGACTCTGACAATCGGTCACTCTTCTTCTGTTCTAGCAGTAGCCGAGCGTCTGTGTATGTTTTCCTCGACCCGTCCGCCTAAATATGACGAACAGGTTTCCTATTTCCTAGAGTAGGAAAACGGTATTTTGTGAAATCAAGGGCAGGTGGCTCCCACTTCCTAGATTTAGGATGAGGGGTCGCCTCTCGCCCTTGAACTGGCTTCCTCTTCCGTGAAGCGGAGGGTTTCTTAGCCGACTGCTCCTTGTCCAGAGCAGGCGGCTTCTTGTTGATCAACTCTTGAATTTCTCCCTTGAAGTCCCTCATGAAGGTCTTGAGTTCGTTCCTTGTGATGGGAGCAGACTCATCAGTCGGATGCTGCCGAACAGGCGGTGCGCCTGGTGGCTCGCTTCCAGTTTGAAGATGTTCCCGTTCCCTCCTTTCGGTATGACGGGTACGTCGGGCCCTTAGGGTCTCGTCTGAAGCTGTGTGAGCTTCAACTTCAAATTCATTCTCAGTATCGTGGTCCGACTGAACTAGAGGGTCGTCCAGGGGACGTCTCTCTTCAGGAGCCGGTACAAACGTGGATGCCATCTCAGAAGTACTCTCCCCACAGACGGCACCAAGATGTTTCGGGGTTTTCTGATGTCCTGCGGGAGAGTTACAATTCTGAGACTGGAACCGGACGCCTGTACCTGCAAAACAAACGGATGCTCCGGATGATTGGAGATCCGCCTCCGACGGTCAAGTTAGTACTTGATTAAGGAGTAATTAATGCGGAAATTAAAGTGATTGGGTCTCTCTAGGTGAGAGTGTTTAATGTGTGTAATCTGCGTTTTTTGCGTAATCTCCCTTAATGAGGATTAAGGGAGGTATTTATAACCTCGGGAAATGTGCCAACCTAGGTTTAGGTTAACCTTGGGCTGATTGGGCTTCCCTCGGAAGTTGGGCCTAGGTGACCGGTTATCCTAGGTGTCATGGGAAGGACACGTGTCGTGTCGTAATTGGTCCATAGTGGACGGACCATTGCTTGACACGTGGCAGGCTCTTATTGGCCCATGTGACGGACACATGGCGGAACCTGATTAGTCCACTTGTCAGATGGTGATTGGTGGGGAAAAATCCCCTAATCAACTGGCCATATGGGTTTCCCCATCCGGTTGTCCAGGGGGTCGGTTTGTACCCGCCTGGCTGGTACCCCGCTCCAGAGTGTCTCTGGGCAGGACACGCTTGGTTATCAGAGAGATATCATTGGCTATATAGGTCTTGATCTGAGGATCATCGTCTTCCTGGTCATTAAAAACTTCCCGTTCATTGACCGGGCGATCAGGAGGCGGTACAAACTCTTGAACCATGCCTGAGATACTCTCCCCACAGACGGCGCCAAATGTGTTTGGGTGTTTTTGTCCCTCGGGAGAGTTACGTCACAAAGATTGGTCCGGCTGAGCTGTACTTGCAAAAGCAACGGAGACTCCGGGTGGTGGAGCTCCGCCTCCGATGATCAAGTTAGTAACTTGAAGAAGAATAAATACTGCGGAAATTTAGGTGGGGATCTGCTCAGATTCCAAGCTCAGGTGTTTCTCTGATGAGAGGGAAAGTTGGTGTAATAAATGATTCAACGTGTCCCCAAAATTGGGAAATATCTCCCTATTTATAGGATCATTGTAGAGTGTGCCCCTATATAGGTCACTTGACCTAGATTTTAGTAGGTTGCGCCGTTTTCAGCGCTTCTTGGGATTTGGGTCCTTGAAGGCCGCCATTTCAGGGGCTTAAATGAAGGGGCCATGTGTCAAGAGGGTATTGGGCCACTTGGGCCATCCTAAACTCACCACGTGACCTCTTCTCATTGGTCCACTAGTCTAGGGTATTTTTACCCTAAACAGAACCCAAAGGAACAATAATTTTCAAGCACTTTCAATTATGCGCCTAAACTAGTTCGAAGACGAAGGTAAGAGAGAATACTAACAACTAACGAAACAAGTAACCAAGGAAATAAAACACTAGGAATGGGGATCAACAAGTAATCATGTCATTTGTAGCAACATTAGAAGAGCATGCCAATCAAGGGTTGTGAAGACTAATGATAAGAGCAATCAATAGGAATCTAAGAGCTATCTCCTAATTGTTAAGTTAGGGTTCACTATGAATAACAAACCAAGAGAATCACAATCAAAACCAATCGATAATTGCATTATCTAAATCAATTGTTCGTGTCATTAGCAACTATAATGCAATCAAGTATAATTCTCAAGACCTAATTGAATGACACACATGTAAACCTTCATTAATAACTTTAATCTCAACAATCAACCAACACAATTCCCAAATTAATCATAATTCATCAATCATACAGGTTTCACCCAATTCTTAGCCAATAACTACTCAAATATCATCATCTAACTACAAACAACTAAAGAAATCAAGAATAAAAAATGTATCAAGAACAATTACACTAATCAAGCATCAAAATTAAACCAAACAAACTTGAAATTGAATAAAACAATAAAGAGGAGAGAGTGTGAGAAATCTTCTTTCATTGATAATGGAGATCTTCAATACAATTGTCATTTTGAATTTTCAACCTCTCAAATAAGCATTGAAATTCATCAATTTCTCTCTTTAAAATCTACTCTTAAAACTAACCCTAGATCAAGAGAGAGAAGCTCTCAACTTAGCTAGGAAATATGTATTTTAATTCTCTACTTGTTTTTTCTCTAACCCAAAAATGCGTATTTATAATTACAAGGTTAAGAGAAAATAAAAGAGAAAAGAAAATAAAAGAAAAGAAAAATAAAATAAAATAAATAAGAAAGGAAAAGAAAAGAAAAATAAAAATAATAATAAAAGGAAACTAAAAGAAATTAAAAGAAAGAATAAAAGAAAAACAAAGCAAAATTAAAAGGGGAAAACGAAGTCCACTGACTTCGATAATTCGAAGCTCATGAAAATGGGAAATTATCCCCTACTTTGCGCATCACCAATCACACACCATCCCAACCGTTCGATCATCAATTTAATCAAGATCAACGGCCGAAAATCGAACTCAGAAGTGCGCGGCCGCGATTATTGAATGCGCGCCCGCGTCTGTTGAGGTTCCAAAGATGGCAGGGTTGCTCGGAGGCACTTGCGGGACTGCTGCTGCGGTGGTGCAATTGGTGCCAGATTAGGGAATTTCGGCTAGTCGTTTATTGTTGCGGGATGTTGGTGGTGAAACCGGCGGGCTGCCGGAGTTTGCGTGGGAGAACAGAGGAAGGTGCGGTTTGCTGTATGAAGGAGAGAGGTGGCTATGTTGCGGGAGAAGAATTAACGGTTGTGGCTGGTCGATGAGGTGGTGATCAGGTGCGGCTGCAATGCAGTGCAAAGGTGGTGGATTTGGTTACTCTGTTTGGTTGATTGAATTGGAGGTTGAAAGGAGGTGCGTGAGGGGGAGCAAATGATGCGGGAGTTTTAGGGGGTCAAGTTAGTAAAGCGGTCGATAAGGCTATATCTCTTACATGTCATCCAAGTAGGCTTTTATTATCGTTGGATTGGATCGTGGCCTACTCAGAGGGTCGTTTTAGGGCTAGAGCAGGAACGAATCTTAGTTTGGTTGTACTCCAATGGGACAACATTGGAGAGAAGGTACACTAAATTAGAGTAGTAGTTTTAGCGTACTTTTAATTAATTATTTAAGAAATATAGAAAGTTAATTCCTATTTGGTTTCTTAGTAATACATTGGCAGCTTGTTGCCTACTAGCTATAGAGTCCTAGTTATATTGGGTTTATAATAAGTGTTTAGTCTAATTGTCCTATTAGGAGTAGGAATCTTATGTCGGTTACTCTAGTCTATAAAAGGCCATTAGTTTGTAATTTTTATTCATAGTTGAAAGAATAGTTTTCTTGAGTTTATTATTGCAAACTTACGAATTAAGTTTGTTTGTTCGATCCGTTTGATTGAGCAAGCTTGGTTTTGATCCGATTGATCAAAATCTAGCATAGGTTTGTGTTAGCTCCGTTTGAGTTTAACATTGACCAAAAGAAAACCCTCAGCGTTTGGGTATAAACGCATCAAGTGGTATCATAGCCAGGTTCAAAGGTTTTCGGTGAGGATTCTTGCGGCGTAGTCTAACGTAATTGACTCTCTTGATTGAGCAAGAGGGAAACCAACGAGAGACATGCCTGGAGATGAAGAACAACCTCGTAATTTCGGAAACGAAATTGATTATCTCTCAGACAATGTAAACAAACTTACTACATCAGTGGGTAAGATTTTAGAGCGTTTTGATGGGTTGGACACACGTATGGAACAAGTTAATATTAGTGTGGGAGAATTGAGGCGTAGCGGCAGCGACGATAATGGTGGTCGGGTGCGTCGAAACTTTAATCATATTCATGGGGAGCAAGAAAATAGTAGGCGACGAGAGGACAAAATTAAACTCACAGATTTACCCGAATTTGATGGTAGTGCAGACCCTGAAGTACATTATGAGTGGGAACGTCGTATTGAGCGAATATTTGATTTTAAGGACCTTGATGATCAAAGAAGGTTTAAGTATGCTACCTTAAAGTTGTCTCGATATGCATCCTTATGGTATGAGAGCATGAAAAGGGCTCGGGATAAAGAAGGGAAGGAGAAGCTTCAATCTTGGGCAAAATTAAAGAAAACGTTGAGAATGCGGTTCGTACCAAAAACTTATAAACAAGACCTTTTTAGACTGCTTGATACATTACAACAAGGTGGGTTGTCCATCGAGCAATACACTAAGAAGTTTGATAATCTTAGCTTAGCTTGTGATATTGAAGAAGGTGAAGAGCAACGTATGAGCAGGTTCTTGCGTGGTCTTAATATTGATATAGCCAATGTAGTGGAATTGCAACAATTTTGGACATATGATGAGCTTAGTTCTTTGGCTTTAAAAATTGAGAAGCAACTACGTGGCACTAAAGTGAGGAGTTATACAAAGGCACTAACTCCTAACAAAGTGGAAGGTGTTGGGTCCTCAAGCAAAGGCATTAGCACAACAACAAAATCAGAATTTTGGGACAAAAATAATCAACAAAATAAAGGAGAAAATTCAAGAAACTCCAAGAATGAAGGTAATAAGTCAACTGTTAAATGCTTTAAGTGCCAAGGGGTCGGACATTATGCACGTGAGTGTCCCAATAAACGTGTAATGACAATGGAGGATTGGCATGAGGCTACAAATTATGCATTGACCATAGCTTCACAGAGGGATAAAGTACAACAAGTAAATGATGAGGTGTTAGTGGAAACCGAAGACGAGGAAGAGAATATTGGAGAGCATATATATGGGGGTGATAGTGATGTTAGTATGGTGCTCCGAAGGACTCTACATTCTCAATCGGTGACGGAGGAAAACGAGCAACGTGAACTCATATTTCATTCAAAATGTTTGATTGGTGGCAAAAAGAGGAGTTTGATTATTGACAATGGGAGTTGTACGAATGTTGTAGCACTCTCTTTGGTGGACAAATTGAAGCTTCCTACTAAACCACACCCTCGACCCTACAAGTTGCAGTGGCTCAACAATGGTAATGAGGTAAAAGTAAATAAGCAAGCATTAATTTCTTTTAGCATGGGGTCATATGTTGATAATGTGCTTTGTGATGTTGTTCCTATGGATGCATGTCAATTATTATTGGGTAGACCTTGGATGTTTGATAGGGAGGTGTCGTACCTTGGGAAACAAAATGTTTATTCTCTTTTGTTTACCAAGAAAAAAATAATTTTAGAACCTTTGACCAGAGAACAAATACACAAACTCCATAAAAAGCCCAAAAAAGAGAATATGTTTGCCACTGAAGGTGAAGTTTTGAGGGAAATTGGAGACGGCAGTAAGTTGTATATTATCTTAATGAAAGAAATGGAGTCAAAAGAAGGGGATAACACCTCAAATCCCTTCTTAAAACCTTTATTAGAAGAGTATAAGGATGTGTTTCCTATTGATTTACCTCATGGCTTACCTCCATTACGTGGGATTGAACATCAAATTGACCTTATTCCTGGTTCTCAACTTCCTAACAAACCAGCCTATAGGTGCAATCCCGAGGAGACTAAAGAATTACAAAGACAAATTGAAGAGTTGATGGGGAGAGGTTATGTGAGAGAGAGTATAATTCCATGTGCAGTTCCTGCATTATTAGTGCCAAAAAAAGATGGTACATGGCGTATGTGCATTGATAGTAGGGCGGTAAATAATATAACGTACTATTAAGTATCGTTTTCCTATTCCTCGATTGGATGATATGATTGATGAGTTGCATGGTGCTACTGTATTTTCAGAAATTGATTTGAGAAGTGTATATCATCAAATTCGCATGCATGAAGGAGATGAATGGAAAACAGCTTTTAAGACTAAGCACGGGCTATATGAGTGGATGGTGATGCCTTTTGGGCTTGCAAATGCCCCAAGCACTTTTATGAGATTGATGAATGAGGTGCTTAAGTCCTTTCTCGGGAAGTTCGTGGTGGTGTAACTCGACGATATTCTTGTTTATTGTAAGAATGAAGAGGAGCATGTGGGACATTTAAGGCAATTATTTGATAAAGGGAACAAAAGTTGTTCGGAAAGATGAAAAAATGCTCTTTTATGGTTCCTTCGGTTACATTTCTTGGTTACATTATATCTGGTGAAGGTATTAGTGTGGATCCTACAAAGATTGAAGCCGACAAGTCGTGGCCTACCTCTACTACCGTTACTGAGGTACGATCTTTTCATGGTTTAGCTTCATTTTATAGAAGGTTTATAAAAAAATTTAGTGCTGTTACTGCTCCTATAACTGAATGCTTGAAGAAGGGAAAATTTGAGTGGTCTGGTACAACACAACGAGCGTTTGAATTAATAAAACAAAAGCTTTGTGAGACCCCGGTTCTTGCATTACCTGATTTTAGTCAACCTTTTGAGGTAGAGTGTGATTCTAGTGGGGTTGGTATCGGTGCCGTATTATTACAGAATAAACGACCAATTGCTAATTTTAGTGAAAAGTTGGGTGGTGCTAAACTCAACTATTCTACTTATGACAAGGAGATTTATGCAATAATTCGTGCTTTAGATTATTGGAGCCTTTATTTGAGGCCTAGTCATTTTGTTCTTCACTCAGATCATGAGGCTCTTAAATACATTCATGGGAAACACAAGCTTAATCCTAGACATGCTAAATGGGTTGAGTTCCTACAATCGTTTCACTTTTCTTGCAAGTACAAAGATGGGAAAAGTAACATTGTTGCAGATGCTCTTTCTAGGAGGAATTCTTTGATATCTATTATGGATTCTCGACTACTTAGATTTGATGTGATTAAGGAATATTATGCCACTGATCCTGTTTTTTCTCATGTCATTGATTCTTGTAAAAGGGGTGCACATGGTGACTATGTCATACAACATGGATTCCTTTTTCGGGGAAATCGCTTATGTATTCCTAAATGTAATATGCGGGAGTTGTTAATCAGAGAGGCACATGGAGGAGGAATAGCAGGACATTTTGGTATTAATAAAACCCTTGAGGTATTACAAGAACATTTTTATTGGCCAAAGATGTTTGGAGATGTTCAAAATATTTTTGTTCGTTGTGAGTCTTGCCAAAATGAAAAGAGTTCTTTTCAAAAGGGTTTGTATACTCCTTTACCTATTCTAGAAAGACCTTGGGAAGATATATCCATGGATTTTATTGTGGCATTGCTGAGAACTCAAAGGGGAAAGGATGCAATCATGGTTGTGGTGGATCGTTTCTCAAAGATGGCACACTTTATTTCCTGTCACAAAACGGATGATGCGACTCACGTGGCCGATTTGTATTTTAGGGAGATAGTTCGTCTACATGGAGTTCCTAAAACTATTGTTTCCGATAGAGATAGTAAGTTTCTTAGTCATTTTTGGAGGACTTTGTGGAAATTGATAGGAACTAAATTGCTTTTTAGTACTTCTCATCATCCACAAACCGAGGTGACAAATAGAATACTTGGTACACTATTGAGAGGGTTGGTGAGTAAGACTCAAAAGGATTGGGATTTGAAGCTAGCACATGCAGAGTTTGCTTATAATAGGTCACCGTCTTTTGCTACAAAGCATTTTCCATTTGAGGTGGTTTATGGTACAAATCCAATGCTTCCAATTGATCTGATTCTTTTTCCAAAAGAGGAGATTACTAATATTGACGCACAAAAGAAATTGGAGGCAATGATTAAGTTACATCAACAAGTCAGAGAAAGAATTGAGCAAGTTAATGAAAATTATAAAAAAAAAAGAGTAAACAAGCATAGAAAACAACCCACATTTCAAGTTGGTGATCTTGTTTGGTTGCATTTGAGGAAGGAGCGTTTCCCTGAAAAGCGTAAGAATAAGTTAATGCCAAGAGCTGAAGGTCCTTTTCAAGTTATTGAGAAAATTGGAAGTAGTGCTTACAAGTTAGACTTACCAGGTGACTATGGTAGTGTTAGTGCCACTTTTAATGTTGGTGACCTATCTCCATATCTTAGTGATAATGTATTCTCGGAATTGAGGACAATTCCTTTCGAAGAAGGGGAGAATGATGCGGGAGTTTTAGAGGGTCAAGTTAGTCAAGCGGTCGATAAGGCTATATCTCTTAAATGTCATCCAAGTAGGCTTCTATTATCGTTGGATTGGATCGTGGCCTACTCAGAGGGTCGTTTTGGGGCTAGAGCAGGAACGGATCTTAATTTGGTTGTACTCCAATGGGACGACATTGGAGAGAAGGTAGACTAAATTAGAGTAGTAGTTTTAGCTTACTTTTAATTAATTATTTAAGAAATATAGAAAGTTAATTCCTATTTGGTTTCTTAGTAATACATTGGCAGCTTGTTGCCTACTAGCTATAGAGTCCTAGTTATATTGGGTTTATAATTAGTGTTTAGTCTAGTTGTCCTATTAGGAGTAGGAATCTTATGTCGGTTACTCTAGTCTATAAAAGGCCATTAGTTTGTAATTTTTATTCATAGTTGAAAGAATAGTTTTCTTGAGTTTATTATTGCAGACTTACGAATTAAGTTTGTTTGTTCGATCCGTTTGATTGAGCAAGCTTGGTTTTGATCCGATTGATCAAAATCTAGCATAGGTTTGTGTTAGCTCCGTTTGAGTTTAACATTGACCAAAAGAAAACCCTCAGCGTTTGGGTATAAACGCATCAAAGGGAAGCTGCGTGAAATTGGGCATGAAGGGATCGTGCCCGCGATGCTAGAGCCGCCCCGCGGCCAGACTGCAGAGAGTTCCTTGTTAATTTTGCTGTTTTGGTGCAACAAAGCTCGCGCTGGCGGCTTGTAGATCCACGTCCGCGGCTATCGTGGCTGTCGGGTTGTGATGAGACTTGTTGGTTTGTTATATTGCAACAATTAATTGATTTTTAATCTAAAACCTCGAAACATCAAGCTTGAACATCGGAACTCCGAATATGACAATTTGAATCGTGTGTTGTCCCGAGCAATCACCTACACAGACAACAAACATAAGGGAGAAATAGGAGACAAATAAAATAAAATAAATACAATGGAAATAAATAAAGTAAAAATAAAAGAAATAAAACTTAAACTGTGAATTAAGGTCTAAAATCATGAAAAACTAATAACAACTAATCAAAACCCAAAATAAGTTATTAAAATGGAAAACTAAGAAAATTATATGAAAATATAGAAAGAAAATATAGAAAAAGGACCTAAATCTTATTCTTTTGAGCGCCATAATTGACCCTCATCAAATTCCCCTAAGCTAAACTTTTGCTCGTCCTCGAGCAAAACAAAATCCAACCCAAGGGAAAAATGATGACATTATTCACGTAAAGAAAGAAACAAGAAAACTAGAGAGGATGGGAATATACACTAACTCACTTTCGTAGGAATCACGGTCAATTTTAGCAACTAAAGACAAGCCATTTAAACCCCTAGATCACCCTTGAGGACGAGTGATGCTCTTGTAAAGGTTTCCTAAGAGATTAACCTATAACTCTCATATTAATACAAATAAGGCAAAGCATGAGAAGGAAATGAAAAGAAAAGAAGAGCAAACACATGTTTATAAAAGGACTTTTCCCAATGTACAAGCACAAATGAATGCAAATCTTTCTAAAAAAGTAAGGGAGTGCACGTTTCAAGATACCAAGGTTGATTGAAACATAAATATGCTAAGCATAGGAACTAGTTTTCGCAATCCACTTTCATCCCAAATGGTCTTACCGCGTTTTCCCTACTAGTCTCATATCTTCCCCTAGTGAGCATCTCAAAAGTTCCACGAAGAAACCGAAAAAAAGAGATAATTTTAGGCTACTCGACGTCTTGACAATGCATCCCCTCCCCTTAGGCTTTAACTCATAATGCCCTCCATCGGTATGTCACCCAACCCCTAGCCAAGAGGACTACTCACAATTCATTGTGAGTACATGCAAATTCCAAGCTTGGATTATAAGCGATTCTAAGATTTGGAAAAACAAGTGATTATCTATGGACAAAGCTAACATGCAACAACAATATATCAAGATTGAGAGAAAATCAAGTGGCTTACAAAACAAAAAATAAAATCAGAAAATAATGAAGGACCAATGAAAGAAGTTACTATTGAAGCTTCAAAAATGTTGGATAATTGCTGAAATTCTTGAGATAAATCTTGAAATTTGCTTACAATGATTAGATTTGAGAGTTTCTAAAACTAAATCTACTAATTTAATGAAGTTGCTAACTAAGAGAGAGTATCTTTTTTTACTGAAAACTATTCTACTGTTTTTCTTCTCTCTCCCCGAAAAACGATCTCCAAAGGACCTTAAATAGTCCGTACAAAATTGGCTGAGATCGGGAAAAGGTCCAACCGAACTCAGGGTAGGTTCGGTCGGACTCAGGGTAGGTTCGGTCGAACTCTGTGTAGGTTCGGTCGAACCTCCCTGATCCTTGTTTGGTCGAACTTTTGAGGTTCGACCTCTCCTGCAAAATTGCTGAAAACTGGTTTGACACTGCCTTCACTGCACCCAGGAGGTTCGTTCAAACTTTTCAAAAGTTTGACCACACCTAGGTTCGACCGGACCTTTCAGAGGTTCGGCCACACCTCCTCTTGCACTTCCTTTTCTTGCTTCCTCTCCTTCCCTTTTGCTCCTCTTGCCTTTGTCCATGGCTTCCATACTTGGCCAAGGGGCCTCCCACCGTGCATAGGACCGTCATGGAACCTGCAGAAGATACTAAAGTTCACGAGAGCATGGGGATGATAAAATAATGCATAAA